TTCTACACCTCATGACCTCCTAAGCACCAGGTGCAGCTCTGACAGCTCCTGAGTGCCACTCACTGGGGTCGCCCAATAAGCCCCCAGCACCTGTGGGCCCAAGTAGCTTCATATTGTCTAGCTGTGAGCCTTGGACCTGCAGAGTGGGCTGAAGATTGTCAAGAGTGGCCAGCCCCCAATGACACTCTTCCCCCCCCCCCACCAGAAATACAACAAAACCCTAAAGATCATTCTGTTTGCATTCAATCTGATGAGTAAATGATTAATAAGTATCATTCAATAAATTCTTATAAGTTGGCAGAAAATGTTTAGTGGTATAAATGATCTGAATGGACAGTTTGTAGTATGTAAATCCAGATGACTTGAAAATAGAAGAGGTTCCGACTCACTAGTATTTGTGGAAAAACAAATCATCAATACAACATGACATTCTGGTCCTCAGACTGACAAAATTCAGGTAATTCCGGAGATCTCTCACTGCTGGTGGGATGGGGAACTGCTGGTGAGAGGGAATTAGGAAGTGCCTTCAGTGTCTGGGGAGATGTAAATGAGAGGTACTGTAGGACCCAGCATCTTACCCTAGTTTTTCAGCCCATACGTGTGCAAACATCATTTTTAAATAGTGCCTTAAGGTGTTCTGCTGCATTATATTGGCAAAGGAATGAAAACGCCTTTCAAGGGGAATGTATTGTGACATAGTGTATTCTTATCATTGAAGTATTGGTCATCCGCTGAAAGAATTTGCTATTATCCTTGAAGAGACTTCTAGGAAGTATTGAATGGGAAAAGCAACTGAAGAGAAGAGGACATACGTGTTCCTTTGTTTTGGAATCTTGAAATCAGAAAGCCCCTTTGTGTAAGCACACATACACATTTTGTGTGAGACTTCTGGAGAGAAATGTAGGAAAGCGTAAGAAATCATGCATGGATGTTAAGGTGAATCACAGTGTAGTACCATGGTGGGAGAGAAGGGAAAGTGGTAATAAGAGTGGAAAGAGGACTGGGAGACAGAAAACAGCAAAAATAAAACTCACATTCCTGAGAGTCTGTGAAGTTACGTGTATGAGCGCATGTTCATAAAAGCATTAGGAAACAGACATGCCAGCAGCATCTGTAAAGTTGAGGGGGTGGGTGTTGTAGATATATTATTTAGTGAAAATGTGGGGAAGAACTCTATTACCATATAGCGAAATAGTTAGGTTTCCTTTTGTTTCATGTTCGTGTTTGGGCCACACTCAGCAGTGCTCAGGGCAAGCTCCTGACTTTTTTTTCTCAGAGATCACTCCTGGCGGGGCTCAGAGGACCATACGTGGTGCCAGAGATCAAACCAAAGTTGGACACATACAGGCAAGCACCCTACCAGCTGTACTGTCTTTCTGGCCCCGAAATCCTTTAGTTTCACTATGTAAGGAGGAAAATCTGGAAGGGAAGAGTTCGATCTTTTGTTGAAGGGAAGAAGAGATGAAAAGATTGTTCTGTCTCTGCAGCTGGTAATACTGCTATATAATAATTATTTTCTAAGTTGAAAGATGAGCTACATATTTTCCCCCTATTATGTTTGTTCCCATTTTGATAATTGCAAACGATTGTTTCAATTGCATGCTTTCCCTCTGCTATTGTTACTAAAAATTCCTTAAATTTCTAAAAATGTAATGATGAGATTATAAAACTTTATGAATTAAGAAATTCGCTCTTTTTTTCCTCTACAGTGAATGTCATTGAAAAGTTGAAATGCTTTCATCTTTTGCTTAAGGAAAATGCTGAAAACATTACATTGCTATATGTAATGTTACATGTATAGACCATGATAAGAGCATGTGATAATCTTCACAAGTAAATTTGGTTTGGTAAATCACACTATAGACTAGTGCTAGACTTGGAAAAAGTTATCTGCAATGTAGGTGGTGAATAAAATGTAACATTTAAATTTTTTAATTAGTTTAGTTTAAATCAGTTGATTTAATTAAAAATAGATTTTATTAACATTTAATAAAATTTAACCTCTTACCAATCCAAAAGATAATTCAGGGGATAAATTTTATCAGCAGTATTGTTTTTAACTGAATGTGTTTATGCCTTAGAGAAATAGCAAAGAATTGTTTTACTTCCTTAAAACCAGTGTACACGGTAGTGGAGGGCCATGGCTAATTTGTTGGTGGATGAGGTGCAGTAACTTTGTGCATAAATACTATATACTTAAATGCATTTTAAGCAGATTACCTAAGCTATAACTGAAACTATTTTAAGCCAACTTACAAGTTAGAAACAGAAACTTAATTTAAAAAGCACCGTTTAAAGATCTGGGGGACAGTGCTTTCCTGAACTTGTACCACTTCCCCCTGATCCTCCACCCCAGAATAAGTGTGTTTCTAGAATGGCAGTTGTCAATCACATTTCACAAATTCAGTTCAGTTTGGGGTTCACTTCACAGTGTAACACAGAATAAAGCTGGAAGACCAAAGCGAGCCATTCACATCACATCGATGAAATAACTTTGATGAGACTTCCCGTTTAAAACCAGTGATTGTGTCGTTGTGTAGTCACTCACAGTGTCATCTGTATGGTTGAAAATAGAGCCAAGACATATCACTCTCAGTCCCTGGTACAGGGTGTTTTCTCTCTGTGTGAAGAAGAAAAGGAAGCATAGAACTCAGGATAATGACTCTCAGATAAACTCCAAAAGAAGGGAATAATTGATCTATGCATTCAGCCTAAAAAGTCGAATGGCTGCTCTTGCTTCTGCTCTGATTTCTGCCTGAGTAACACCTCTTTCATCCAATATCCTTAGGGAATCTTCCCCTACCCTTACCTCCATGCGTTAAGTGAAATTTTCAAGTGCAGAAAGGTATCCCTTTCGGTATAAATCATAGAAATATTTACAGTTACCTGCTTAAAAAATAATGCATCCCTTTGCTTTCAAATAATCCTGCAGAGACTGCCTTTCCCTTAGGAACAGGTTATTGTTCCTCTGAGGTTGTTGCCCACGTGGTGTGGAGCAGGGTTTGCATCTAGACAGTGAAGCCTGGCACCAGAGACTCTTTTGCTCTCTGGGCCCTTCATGTCTTTCAGCTCTCTGCTTTCTGGCGTGTCTGGAGAAAGTCACAGTTCATCTGGCTGCCCCATTAAAGACTAATTCCTACATTTTCACAAAATATCACCAAGAGTTGCATGCATAGAAATGAGTGTTAGGATATTCCTGGGTGGGATTCTTGGCTGGCAGTCCTGTGATGATTTCTAAATTGAGAATTAAAGAAGTAAAAACTTAAAACTTGGATGACTCTTGCCTTCTGCCTCCTGGATATTAAAATATTTCTTGCCTATGGCTAATCTTTCATTCAGTCGGAATAGTGACATAAACCTGTACATCACGAAGAGTTTTCTAAGCAGTTTTCTGGAAACACTTTTTTTCAGAGCTTATCTTGAGCTCGCAAACTCCTCATTTCAGTATTTGTTCTATTTCTGTTGGATTTTTTTTCCACAGGCAGGAGATTGAACATCTAGTTTGTATCCATCTCTAGAAGTTATTCTATATGCTCATGGCAGAGAATGGCAGGGATCCCACCTCTATCTCTGAGATCCATTGTTCATGTCACAGAGATTGATGGGCTTTGGATAGTGAGGGATGTGATTTAAATACCATCTGCACCACTTTCCCAGCAGATTGGTAGATGACAAAACTGCCAGATGAACAGCGTGCATTCCTGAAAGGAAAAATCAAAATCAAAATTTGTCCCATGGGGAAATTAAAAGTACTATTATTATTTCAAAACTTAAAATTGTTTTGACTTCCATAATTCAAGTGAACATAGTTTATGGAATAAAGTCTTCAGAAGAGAATGTTTTGCTTAATACTTTTGTCAGTCTTTTAGTTACATGTGTGGATCTTAGGAGGCACTTGGAGATCCAGCAGCCCTTGTCATAATCTAAGATAACAGAAGAGAGTAATGGTTTTAGAGAGTCGAACCGGGCACCTCTTCCTTCTCCCTGTGAAGTTTCGCTGTGATCTGTGGACACTGAGTTCCTTTTGTGCCAGCCAGACCTGGCTCAGGAATGCTCAGCCACTGTGTCTGCCCCCAGAGCTCTGTGTTGCCAGCTACATTTTCTGGCGATGTCTAAACTTTTCAGAGCTTTGTAAATGTCCCTTCTCTAGAAGTGAATTTGTGAAGAGTTTTCTAATATATCAGGAGTTGCTAAGGTTTTCTTATGTTAGCCTTTGAGAAAGCACTAGTGTGATGCAGGGCCTTTACATTTTCCTTGGGCTTTGGGGGGAGCTTGCGCCCCACCCCAAATAAACTCAAATGGTGCTCAGGGGCTATTCCTGACCCTGTGCCTAGGTACTTTGGGGATTGAATCAGGTGCCAGGGATCGAACCAGGATTTGCTGCATACAGGGCAAGCTCTTTATCCCCTAAACTAACTCTCTCACCCTATTGTCTTAAAGGCCTGACGCTGGGCTCTGTTGCAGTATTTCCTTTATATTAGTCACTGTCACTGTCCTCCCGTTGTTCATTGATTTGCTCGAGCGGGCCCAGTAAAGTCTCCATTGTGACACTTGTTACTGTGTTTGGCATATCAAATACATCAAGGTTAGCTTGCCAGGCTTTGCAGCGCGGGTGAGATACTCTCGGTAGCTTGTGGGGCTCTCCGAGAGGGGCTGGAGTGATAGTACATTAGTCACCAGAGTAAAATTATTTATGGTATATCAGAATATGATAGTCTTAACATAAACAGCATACCTCTGAGATCATCCAAACAACTGGACATCACAGAGAAAAAGGTGAAGAGAATTCAGATCACAGTGATATCAGTCTTATAGCCAGTCGGTCTGTGATAAAACTTTCCAGAAACCAAAACAGATGAACAGTCCAATTCTAGATTGACCCTGTTCTAGTCTCTTTAGAACCAGCCACATTTAAAAGATATCTTTAGACATGCATGACAATAACTTCCTTTCCAAAGTCAGTGGCAGTAAAAATAATCTTTCTTCTTTTTCTTTTTCAGAACAAGCTTGCCCTCTCCGATGTTTTCCAGAAATGACTTCAGTATCTGGAGCATCCTCAGAAAATGTATTGGAATGGTAAATTTACTGTTGGTTTTATTAGTATTAAAAAACTTCATGTTTTTTGTTTTGCTTTGTTTTGTTTGTTTTTATGTTTGGTTTTTTTTTTACAACTTCATGTTTTGTTACATATTCTTTGGAAGGGAATCTTAATTTTTGTCAAAAAGTAATGCAAAACAGTGATAGTTATGGAAACTTTCAAGAATCAGAAATTGTGTAAAATCTTTTTCCTGATTGCATTTGAATGACCTTTTATGCTTTTAATATGACTTTAGTGTCACTCTTCGTTGTGATGAATGGAAAGAGATACTCTGTAGTGTCACTCTTCATTGTGAAAAATGGAGAGATATTCTTCTGCTATCACGCCACATTTGTATTTCCCTGTAGAATTACCCACAAATTCTCTCAGGAATAACAGGCTCCCAATTGCGTTGGATATAATTTCACTTACACTTCTATGTGCAGAGCAAGTTTGTTATCTATTGGCTTTCTAAGTGTGGCATATTAAACACTTGAAATGTGCCCACAGATCTGATTTTGAGGGGGAAAAGGTGGCAGATGGCACAATTTACTATTTTTTCCTTGAATTCCTTTAAAATAGGAATATGTCGTCATTTAGGTTAAAATCAGAATAGAAGTATCTTAGTTCTTCTAGTATGGCCTTTGACTGGAATGATAAAAAATGTCAAATATGTGTGTTCTGAGCCCCTGGAGAATCTTCTTGGATGTTATCTTATTAAATTTTGCAATTTTCATGTGTAATCTGGGTGTACTTGCCTTGCCTCATAAGTATCATCACTTTCTCTAAACATCTCATTCTAATCTTGAAATCATTCCAACTGGTGATGTGCCCACCTTACCATGGTTCCAATATCACTGTTCCTCTTCCAGAGGCAACATAATGTGTGACTTCCTAAATTTATTTTCCAAGGAACCAATCCCAGAAAAATTCATTTAAAAAAAAATTCAACTAAGCTCTTGAGTCTGGTAACCTTGTATTTCCTGTAAATAAGGAGAATAGCTTGTACCATAAAGGTATAGAAAGAGATAAAGAAGATGGTTTATGTAACATATAAGTATAGCCCCTGGCTTAACACAGTGCTTGATATTATTGGTGGTTAATCACACCTGATAATCAGAAATTCCTTGGCTCTTTTTATGTTTGTTTGTTCTCAATTTTTGTTTTTTCAGACACATGTAACAATACTCAAGGGTTATTCCTGGCTCTGCACTCAGGAATTATTCCTGGCAGTGCTCATGGGACCATATGGGATGGTCATATGAACCAATTTGAGTTCAGATTAAACTCAAGTCAGCATGCGAGGCAAGCACCTTTCCTGCTGTATGTCTCTTTGGCCCCAGAAAAACCAGGGTTCTAATCCTATTTCAGTTCCATTAAAAGTCACCAGAACAAATAAAACGTAAATATCTTTAAATAAGTTAATTTCGTATTTGTTATCTTTGACCTGAAATTTTCAAAACAAAAATAATGTTCTATAAAATCAGTATTTTCAACGCCTTAGTTAGCATCTCTGCCATTGTGATCTAGTATACAAATATATGTGTGTGTTTACAATAAAAACCAGTTCCACTGGAGTTTACTTGTCTTTATAACAAGTGACAGAAAAAAATCCTTTTGAGTTAATTGATTTCATAACCAGCTAATGAATGAAATTTATAATTATTGTAAATCTGGTGCCATCTGTCTGAGTCCACAGAGTTTGTATCAAAACTTCAGCTGTTTGATCTTTTTGCCCACCATGGAAAGTACAGTTTTCTGTATATCTCTTCCTAGAATCTGTCTCCTACCGTCTCCTCACTCTCTGGTGTCACATTTAGTGGTGGTGTCATTAGTTCAGGCTAGTGATCAGCACTCTGGTTTATGTCTAAAGCAAGTCATTCTGTCTAAAGGAGACAAATCATTCTTTTAAAAGATGGAAGATGTTCTGTTGAGTTATACCTTTTTTACTTTGGAAGATACTCTTCACTAGAAGAATGTTTTTATTTTTAGGTGAAAAAATAGAAAAGTATAAGCATGGAGTTTTAAAGTACATATGTCTTGAGAGTGAAATACTAATAATGCTAGAATAAATTTTTTTTTTTTTTTTTTTTACTTTTTGGGTCACACCCGACAATGCACAGGGATTACTCCTGGCTCTGCGCTCAGGAATTACCCCTGGCGGTGCTCAGGGGACCATATGGGATGCTGGGAATCGAACCCGGGTTGGCCGCGTGCAAGCAAGGCAAGCGCCCTACCCGCTGTGCTATTGCTCTAGCCCCTAGAATAAATATTTTTAAGTAAGGTTAAGTTTTAGAGTTATCTTCTCCATTATCTGCCTCTTTTCACCTCCCCAAAGAAAATAAATATTAGTATCCATGGGTTTTATTATGTCTAACTTCAAAGTGATAGTGATTTTGAAATCTCCTCTGTACCTTCATGATTACATTTCAGTTAACAGTTTGTACTTATCATGCTGGAGAGATAGTACAGTGGGTGTGGCAGTTGCCTTATATGCTGCCAACCCACGTTCAATCCCCTGCATCCAAATGGTCTGCCAGACTCTGCTAGGAATGATCCCTGAATAGGTCTAAGAGCAGAGCAGAGTGTAAGCCCTGGGCAGCTCTGGTTGTGGCCCCAAAGCAAAACAAAACAAAACAAAACAGACCAAAAAAAACCAATTTTAGTTTCACTTTAAATTCTCTGTAGGTAAATCGTAGCTGTGAAAGCCGTGGGCATACTCTCCAGCTAGATCTTTTCTTACCTCCAGAGTTCAGTGTTTGTTCTTTGTTTTTGTTTTGTTTTGGGTGAATTTCGGTTGGTTTATTTCTTTCATAGCTTTTGTCCTAAAAATAGAGGAAATGTATGCGGAATCACAGGTTTTCTGATGTCTCTGGACTTCTGGAACTTGCCACGCAGTTTAGAGAATGTGATCATCCTGTCTCTGGCAGCCTCACTTCTATACCAAAGTGGGGTCCAGCCCAACTTTTTCTAAAATTCATACCCTCATTTGAAATAATTTTCTGATAAAATATGATTAGTCAAAATACATGACTCTTATGACCTCATAGCACATGAGGGATGCCAGGGATGGTGTAGGTCAGAGGTTACTGAACTTATTTGGTCTATCACCAGCTTTTTCAGAAAACACTTACCTCCTCTCCCTACACTGGGAAATCGACCTTCTTTAAGCAAACAAATAGAGGAAAGCATGTCTCCTCATTTCCACAGTGGCACCTGAGGCCGCTGCCACCCCTCTGGATTATTCCAGCCATTCTTGGGGTGCAGGTGCCTAGTCTACTTTAGGATAGACTTTGTCTGGGTTTGTTGTCTTCATCAAGCAGGACACTTTTCTTTCTTCAGTATTTGTCATCCTGGACCTCAGTGCCCCAGCCGAGCCGTCTCTATACCCATCCTCCACTTCTACACACATTCAGACCTTGTTTTTCTTATCTCTAGGGAGAATACAGAGACGGACTTTTAAAACTCATAGCACCTTTCTTTTGTTCTTCCAGTCTCTTATGGACAAGATTACATGGCATAATGTTGGATTATGCTACTTGAAATGAATACTTTACATAACTGAAATTCAGTCTTAAGTCTCTGTGATTGAAGTGTTTACTGAACAGATTCCCGGCTCAAAATGTAAAACTTGATATTGGTTAATAGTTTGAAACCATTGTTCCTTATTTCCTTACTCCCATTATCCTTCTGCTGAAGGATTTAAATCTCATAATCCCATTGTGTTCCTTCCCTTTATTTTCTCTCTTCTCTTTTCTTCTATATTTTGAGTCTTTCTGAACAAACTACCCTAGAAGCTAGGACAGGAGTGTTGATACTTTGGAAACCAGGGTCAACACTAGGAGAATGAGACATTGGGCACAAAAATCTGAGTAATCACTTATTCGTGTGGCACCTTGTGGCCCCACAGTTGTTTGCTAAATATTCTAATATCATAGACTATTAGTGTTGAATTACTGTAACAGGTGAAAGTGTTGGACATATTATAAATGTTACCTTCTTCTGGTAAGAATATTCTATCATTCTCTTAAATGTGCTACCAAAGGTGTGACATTTTGTTTCTTTGGATACCAGATACCATAGAGACTAGAATACCATCATTCTGTTAAATAAACATAAGGGCCAGCTGTTGTTTGAGAGTTGAAATATTTATAGTTCTTTGGTCCTTAAACTCATATTTATATTTTACATATGATGTAGAATAGTGTTCTCACTTAAGATCTTTTGTTAATTACTCTATCACACTTCACTATCACTATCACCAAACTATATATGCAAATGAAAAAATTTTAATATGTATTATACAATAGAAATTTAATACTAAAACTGTTATCATTCAGTTTTTAAAATATTATAAAATATTAATGCATGTTCAGATAGAGAAGGGAACACTAAGTAAAGAGTGTTTGGAGGACCCACTCTGGTTGGGAGATGTGTGCTGAATGTAGACTATAGATTGTACATAATGGCCTTTCAATGCCTCTATTGCAAACTATAACACCCAAAAGGAAAGAGATAACAAAAGGGAATGCCATGCCACAGAGGCAGGGTGGGGTGGGGCGATGGGGTGGGGTTGGTGGGAGGGATACTGGGATCATTGGTGAAGGAGAATGGGCGCTGGTGGAGGGATGGGTACTCGATCATTGTACTACTGAAACACAAGCACGGAAGTTTGTAAGTATGTAACTGTACCTCATGGTGATTCACTAATAAAAAATATATAATAAAATAAAAATTAATCTCGCCCCCACGGCAAAGCCTGGCAAGCTACCCGTGAAGTATTCGATATGCCAAACACAGTAACAACAAGTCTTAAAATGGAGATGTTACTGGGCCTGCTCGAGCAAATCGATGAACATCGGGAGGACAGTGACAGTGAATGTTGAAAAAATACTAATGCACGAGTGATCAAGTGATAAAATGTGTGGAAACAATAACATAAAAGGCAAAATATTAGTAAATTATAATTTTTAGTTAACAAATTTCTGAAAATGAATAT